GGTTTAGGGCTATAGAGTTTAGGGTCATGCCATCATTTGGGTAGCCTTAAAGGGTGTAGGGCTTAATCTCATATTGTGGACGGATAGAAACCTTCCTGACACTCATAAGCCAAAATTCCACATTTCCCAGAATTTAGGAACATGGGAGGCACGAGGGATTGTCAAATAATGCTCCCAGTCGCACTTTTCTGAGTACCCGAATACTAGGACAGTATCATCATGCGATGGACTACAAGTTTTAATTCTTGATCATCTATCATGTTAGAATACAAGGGGAGTGGAAATGAGAATGGAAGCTACTATGTTAGGATGTAGGGTCCAGAGTTCTCATGGAGCCCATGATATCCCAAAATTTCGGAAGACTCCCTAAATCTTACTAGGGATCTTCGTAGTTACTTTCTGGATTGAGTGCGATGGGCCCTTTGGTCCGATAAATTTTCCCATCCTCCTAATCCCGAGTCCCCAAGCTGCATACGACCTTGTCAAAGTAACCCCGAGTGATCCTCCACTAGAGGGCTATAATCTCCCAAATAGAAATATTCTGCATACACGCATTCCTGTACATATACATATATGAGTTCATCTAGATATGGACTACCTGGGTATATCTAGGTCCCCAAAATACCTCATTTATGAGAAACCCTCCAGATGTGGAGTCCATTCCAATTGAAGAAGTCAGGAGATCGGCAAGAAGTACGGCAAATCCTGGGCTCAAGTGGCTTTGACGCCTGAAAATAGCCCTGAAGGAGCCATGTACCTAGATAGGTTTCACTTAAACCCCACAGGACCTACGCAGAAACCCATTTGGCCCCAAGTACATACTAAAGAGGTGCCTCCCTAAACCCTAAAAGCCCTAATCCCTCAACCCTAAGCCTTAAATCCTGAACCCTAAACCCTAAGCATTGAAACCTAAACCTTAAACCCTAAGCCCAAGCTTGCAGTGACGAGGGACTAGAGACCCCTAGTTTAAGGCAGCATCGGCAGAAGGTTGGAGGTTGTGTTCTCAAAGGGTCTACATAGGTAAAGGATTTAGGAATTAGGGTTAAGTATATAGTTTGGGGCTTGGATTCTGCCATTTCTTTTGGGGTCCATGAGATTAGCATGACTTGGAGAATGACCCTAGAAAAAACCTTCAGAGCTGGCTCCAAACTGACCTACAAAGGTTACCTGATTCAAAGGGAATACTCCCAAGCACAACAGGTACTTGCGAAGACCCATGAAGCCCAACCCCTAAACCCTAAACCCCGAGACCTGGAGCCTTTCCAGTCCCGCGGTGAGGTCTGAACTGCTTCCTAGTGCGGGCTTGGGACTCCTCCTAAGACGTCAGACCTTATTCTTCCTGGTGCTGAAGGGTCAGTGGTGGAGCCTATCCCTACATCATCTTCTATAATTCTACTTATATTCATTCCCCCACTCAAGCACCAATTAGACTCTGAACCACTGAGGCCTTGTTTGAGTTGATTAAACCAATATATGTCATTGAAACGGCCTTGAAGTCCTGGAATTTCGGTCCACATAGTGAAGCTGCCAATTCAATTTGAATAGGGTGTACTGTTTCGAGGATTAAGCAGACGAGGAAGATGAAGGAACACACGAAAAAGAACATGAGACGAAGGTACATCACTAAAGAATATCTCAAGAAGGAACCAGGAAACCCTAAGGGTCCAAGTACCTAATATTCATATACTTGCCCAACACCTGTACTATACTTACTGTTACCCAAAACCCATGCACCTAATTATTGGGTACTTGGACCCTGTGGGAAAGAGGACCAAGCCCTAAACCTCGAAAGTCTGAGGTGGCTTTGCGGTGGATTGTTGACAAAGGGGCGACATTTTCCACCCAGACGCGCTCCACGGAGCACTTCAAGGATACTGACGGTTTAGGTTTTAGGGTTTAGGGGTTTAGGGTTTAGGGTTTGGGGAAAGGCTCCATGCACCCCTATGGGATATTGTGTCAAGATATTCCTCATGTGTATCCCTTTTGTCATGGAATATATATATATATATATAGTGTCCCCCTTAAGTAGATAGAATGTGGCTTTGGGTATATCAGAATAAGATCCCCAATATGGATACCCCATATTCTATGTACTTAAGGGAGATTATACTCCCTTCAAGGCACCCACCCACACCGCATAGGACTACCCTACTGGTACCTCGCCGGGGTCTCCCTGAACCCCAAACCTTGAAGCCCAGAGTAACAAAACTTGTATAGGTTTAGGGTCTAGGGCTTAGGGTTTAGGGTAAAAACTAAACAGAACAACCGGGCAAAACTTGCCAACAAAATGCACTGAACTCAGGACACGAACCCTGGACAATTTCTATTTCGCCCAAACCCTAAACCCTAAACCGCGTCTTTGTACATGCAGTTTCTGTAAATGGGAGGAACCCTCAATATAGATCCCACAATGCTAGAATCCTGTTCATGGGGGGTGGGCAAAGAGTATGATTTCATGTTCCATTGTTTTTTCCCGCTTGTTTCTCCATCATTGGGATAATACACACGTATGTATATATATATATACATACATATGTACTGGAGATATGCATACCTAGTTGTTTTTTTTTTGTATGTTTCTTCGAAGATACAAAGCATATGATTCAAGGTGCTCCCTGGTTCGCGGTTTAGGGTTTAGGTCTAAGGTTAAAACCATGGGCCCCTAGTATGGGCCCTTAACCCTGGGATCCTTAGATACCTACTATATACCCTATATGTACCCTTAAGGGTCCCTAGAATCCCCCTAAAAAGGCCTAGAGGTCCATAC